TTTTGTCTTGATTCTGCTTTTGGATCGAGTTTTCCGGCACTCTCGTTGTACTCTTCTAGCGCAGTTCTGCTGGTTCCGGTGCACTGATCGCTTCCCTATATCCTTCACGGAGCTTTTTTCAACAACCTCACCTGTTTTCTATTTGTTTTTATTTTTTACTCTAGGCTCGTTTTTTTCCGCTTATCCTCCAACTAAAGAATATTGGATGTTAGACCGAACAAACATTGCTAAATTTACCGACGTTTTGCCCTTTTTCATACTGAAATTTATGGCAGTTTTTGTTTGGTTTGGCTCCTTTCATTCTTTGATTATTTTGATTTTTGCCCTGAATTATTTTAAAATATACCGTTATATCAAAAATGATGTTGATGGTATAACAAGATAGTAATAACAGTTGATTAGCGGGAAATACATTATTTGCATTGATTATACCGTTACCATATGCAAGTGTGAAGGTTCAGCACAATCGAGGTTTCAGTTTAGTTATATTCGTGTATGGATTTAATTCTTGAAATTGTTACATAAAAGTTTTGTGTATTTTCAGAAAGTGGTAGTAGGAGAAGTGAAAGTGGCAGCAGTATTTGCGTATCGTTTAGAAGAAGGAAGTTAACAAGAATTGGAATGTGGCTCTTGAAAAACGAAGAAATACTACTTTATGACAATGAAAGGTTGTAAGAACGAAAGGGTTGGTTGTTGTAAAGACAGGAAAAAAAGTCAAATACAAAATCTTTTATTGTATTTTGTTGTTTGTTCATCTCATCCATTTATTTTTACACTATTATTTTACTGATTTTTGATGTTATCGTATTACATTTCAATTTCAACATTTATTATTAAAAAAATTCGTGCAATTAGTGTTCATTATTGCAGTAGTAGAATTTTGGTTATGGCATGAAAATCGACTACGGTTATAGTTTATAGAATATGAAGCAGGCGCTGAATTTGTATTATTTCATTTCCCACAAGAGACTGTGAATTTATTTTAATATAAAAAATTAGCCTCAAAAGACGATTCCATGATTATATACTTTTTAGAGTGCATTATAATTCAGATTGTATTATGCCATGATTTTTCTTCGTCTATTTGATGAATATTTCAAATAATTTTTGTTACTTGGCAATTAAACTAGTCTTTGACTTTAAATTATGAGTCAGCAAAGGCTGTAAATTGAGTGATTCACGCTGATAGTGGGAAAGGTCTTGTTTTGTTGAAAGAAACTAGTTTATTGCGGGAATTTCAGGATAATTTAATTGTACAGCGAGTGTTCAGGATATATTCGAAACTGGTATTCCTGTAAGTAGTAATTTTCTAATTCCAGAGATATATTTGTTGACGCATTACTCATTAGCTTTTATCACTTTCTGCGTCTGTAGCCATTTTTCGCATTTTGATAATTGCTGCTATTATGTAATAACTATCGACCTTGCACTGCAGTCGTTTATTATAATCATATTTAGTATCAATTCAAGCAATAAATACTACGATGGTGTAATTGCTGTGTTTTTAATTTTTTATATAAATAGATCAGAGGTTGAAGGTGTAGATGATTTTTGCTTTTATAAAATAACATATAAAGCTTATATGTAGTTGATCACTGGAGTTTTCCATCAAATTTTTAGCAATCAATATTCTTTGCATTAAAATTTTGCAAAGCTAAATTATTTCTATTTCTTAACCGTGTTCTGTTGATAACCTGATCATTTCCGTCGCAGAATACTGTGTTCGGGAAGCAAATTAGTTTTGTTTTTGTTTGTTATTTTTTCAAGTTTTTTTTGCTCCTTTCATCCCAGATTATAATGCTTTTTTGTACATTTATACTCTGACTGCAGTGAAATAACTGAATATTCCACGATTATTTAATTGCCAGCTCGTTGCGAAGATCATTTTAATATTAGCTTCATGATTATTAGAGATTAAAAAATGCTTAATGTGAAAGAGAAGAAGCTAAAGTGGAAAGCAAAAGATTAATATTTTAGCAAACAAAAAATTTTATCTGTCACGATAATCCTTTGCTACTTTTCTTTTGATGTTTTATTTTCGTTTAAGGAATGTAATAATTATCAATATGTTGAAATATATGGATTCCTGTTTTAAAACGACGATATTTAAGTCTAAAATCACGATTTATTTCGAAACAATTTGGGAGTAGAGGGAAAAATATCACTCTATTTTTGTCACTTTGGAGCATTGTAGATGTATTGTAAAAGTAAAAAATTTAAAATTTTCTATAAAAATAAAGGTTTGATTACTAAGTGGAAAGTACTTTCAGTGGAGTTTTGAATTTATGATGGAGTCGTATAGTGACGCTAAATTAAACATGTTTAATTTTGCTTATTGTTATTGAACCAGATTTCATTACTTATTTTTCAATATTTAAGGAAGTAATTTGAACACATGTATATATTAAGTCATCAGTTTTTGTTTTAGCATCAGAAAAGCTCAAAAGTAAACTGGATGAATTAAGCAAAAATTTTTAAATGTTTCCTATCCGCCTCTATGAGTAGCATTCACATTTGAAATCGGGACGAAAATGGATGTCAAAAAATTGCATAAATTTCTCATTATCTTTTTTTTTAACATTCAATTGCAATCGTAAAATTACGCGACCTCGCAGTGAGTTTGAGCTGAATGGTTTTCTCTATTTTAACTTGTTTAAGCTTTCTATTAAGCATTTTAGGTTCTGCGAATAAACGAAACGTGGGCGTAACGTAGGAAATAATTTTTGAATTATTTGGATTATTTATTACTGTTACTCATTTGATTGAGTTTCTGTCCACTGTGTTGTACATTGGAAAAAGAAGTCTCTTTCTGGTACCGATAACAGGTTTAATATAATCCATTAGTTTGCTTATGTAATTATTTAATTCCGTAATTTATTTCTTTTACGCGGTAAGTCAAAGTTTTAATTCTAAAAAGATTTTAAGAACTTCAACCTTTCTGCATAGTAATAGTTAGTCTTATTTGTGGTTGCTTATTGCTAATGAATATTTCCAAGCTTTGACATCTTTTTTTCATTTGGAAAAAGCAGGTTTTTATGTGCATGCTGTAATAGAATTCACCTTACAACGGATTTTGGCATGTAATATACATTTATTTGTTTTGCATAGCAGTTCTAAAAATTCTAAAGCTCAGCAATTGATATTCATGATTATTGTAGTTGTTTGTTCGAGTCGTTAAGTAATTATTTGTATTTCCAGAAGATTCCTACTTCTCGATGTTGATAATGCTTGGAAGATATAGATATCAATGGTATCTTGTAACGAATGGTTTGTATATCGTTCATCAAATAGTATGGAGCCCTTGGATTCGGGAAGGTTTCCATTAATTTTATTGATGTTTGACTTTTAGTCATGAAGTTCAGAACTTGATAAGAATTGAATATACGATTTTTTCGGTAATATGTTAGTTTTAGTCATTCTTTTCTAACCAATCATTTTATCTCATTGGAAAAGGTTTTTTTCAGTTATTAGTGAAGGAATATTTGTGAAATAGTGCTTAACAGTGCATGAGATCATAGAAAATCATGTTCACTTTCTTGTTTCATCTCTCCTTTTTCTGTATTAACTTTTCGAAAAAACGATGTGTAATTAGTTCTTCAGAGTTTTCTCTGTATAAATCGTTTTTGAACTTTAAAATAAGAAAATTTACTCGTCATTTTGTTTAAAGTTTTATTTATGTAGGTTTCCCTATGTATCTAAACTTTATTTTTATAAAAGTTTATTAACATAAGAAAACTTAGTTTAGAAACACATAAAATGGAAATATGTTGCAGGAAAAGACTGATTCAACGTATTGTTTTCAAATTAAAACTATCATTATATGGTAATTCTCTGACTTACTTGTTACTCAGCATTCTTCTGTTCTTCCAAATTGTTATTTTACCTCTAGGAGCGGCAACTTCTAGTAAAGGTGAATTGATTAAACTTTTATACATGGGAACTTTCTGCAATTTTTTATAAAACTGTTATGCACTTTAATGCAAAATTGCAGGGAAAAGTGATTATTCACTTCTAAATGATGGTCGTCAGCAGCAACTCTGGATGCATGGAATGGATGCAGCATTTAAAAGGCAGCAGAATAAAAGCAGCAGTGACCGAACTTCTAGGGATAATAACAATAATGGCATTTCAAATGCAACATTGCCGGGAGAAGTAATGTTTACGAAATGGGGATCTGCTGAAAGGTTTGTGTATAAATATTTCTTGCGTATGTATATGATTTTTTGAAATCCGTAGACTGTTTTGAACATATGAAATGACTATTGTTATAGTAGAAATCATTAAACAATGTTTATGCTTATTATTATCAGCACAAATATGGAATGCATAAATTGATAATTAAAGATTAAGTTCTGAACATGTCTTTTGATTTATTTCTTGTCTTTTTTGTTTGCTGTATCAGATTGTGAATTGTATTTTGCAGAGTGTTAGATGATCATTTGCAACATTATCATAGCAGACAGTTTGTGCTGTTCACGTTCATTGCTGTTCATGGTGGCACAACTGAACTTTTCGTCATAGATTCAGCTCAGATTCATGTCATTGAATTACAACCTAAGGAAGAGCTTATCTTAACATGCCAAGCTAATTTACTTGGCTTAGGCGATGATATGGACATTGTATGGTGGAAGAATGATCAGTTCATCACCACTACTAATTCCTCTATTGTAATATCAGATGATAAGAGTTTGGTTAGTCATCAATAATTATTACTTCAATATAATTTTTTCAGTCAGGATCGTAGGACCTTCCTGTTGTTCATTTCATTTCTAAGCATCAGTCTTTTGAAGTTTTGTAAAACAATTAATACTTGAGTCTTGTCTTCTAAAGTTCTTTTAACTATTTTTCTACTCTTAGTTTTTTGCTAAGTTTTAACTTGTTCGATTTTCAACAAATGGTCTGTAATTAGTTTTATCTGCAGGGTTTATATCGATGTGTTGCTGACGTGGATATTGTTTCAACTGATCTTTTGGACAGTTATCTTTTAAATAATCGCATCAAGCGTTCGGCGGAAATGCCTCCTGGGAAAGTGATGAGCAATGCATTCATTATCAGACGTGCAGTGCCGTTTTATTTCGCTGTTCATCCAGAAAAGTAATATTTTGCAACCTGCTAATAATTTTTCATCATAGATGATCTTGGGTCATTAAAGTTATAAATTATTTGTGATTGATAACTGCTTTCATTAGTTATATGGAGCGCTCTATTCATTCATGTGAAAGACTGTTTATTTATCAGACTAAAAATCATTCATTTTAGTGAAAAATTTAACTTTATATGTTTTTAAAATACTCAAGATCAACGGTAATAAGCAAGCAATTGTGAGTGTCAAGCTAACGTAATCATTTAAATCATTGATAATTTTCATTATCGAAAAAACCTTCATTATTTCGATTTTAGTTTTTGAATGAGTTATTTTTAGTCTGACAGTAGAAGTCGGGTCGGTTTTTCGCTTAAAATGTGCAACCAGGGGTGCCCATGCCCATCCTATTGTTTGGATTCGAAATAACACAGAATTAGTTGCTGAAGAAAATAATATTCAAATGTTAGTATTCTAATTATCTTTATAAAAATCTTGAAGCGTTATCATTCGTTTTTGACCATTTGTTTTATTTTAGTCACAGCGAAACTTAATATGTTTTATCGAAAGCAATGTGAATCAATCGTTTTTTGAATTATTACTTTACTATTTTACTTTGTCTTTTGAACATATTTCATAAATTTTATTCCAGATATGCTGTTGAACACCAATCAGTTTTACATTTATTGGGAGCCTTATTTAGTGACAGTGGACGCTATCGCTGTCGGAGTGGAGACTTGTATAGTGATGAGGCAGTGATAGATGTTGTTACCAGTGGTTTGTATTATGCATTATTGTCATAATTTGATTGTCGTGAGACTTACAAGAACAGAAAGCTATTTTTCAAGATGAGACTAAGTGGTTAATGCAGAACTTCAGCAATGATTGCGGAAACTTGTTCGGAATTTTAACAGTCTCTTTTCATAGTTTCGGGAATTTTTATTTTTATGAATTCCTGCAGATTGCAATGAAGATAAAGCTTTGTTATTTATATAATATTTGCTTTTTAAATGTACCGTCGAGATAGAGATTTAATGTCTTGTAGTTCAAAATTCTACTAAATATCCGCTATTGATGGAAGAACTTCCATCAGAACTATCAGTTCCTGTTGGCAAAAGCATTATATTAGAATGTCTTGTGAATGATGTACGATTAAGTTCCTTTTGGCATGTTGTAAATGATTATGGACAACCCATCAAAAGTAAACTCTATTCATTTTTATGTGCCTTGAAAATTAGAATCACGTCCGTTTTAGAATATTTTAAAACTCTAAAGAATACTGAACTCTGAGTAGTTCTTATCAAAACTCGGATTGAATAGAAAAAACCAGTCATTAGAAAGAAATAATAGAAATTTCTTTATTGATTATTAATGAATGAAAGAAAAGATGCAGTGAATCGCCAGTCCGAGTACACAATTTATGGTTTACTTTTGTTGCTTGCAGAATATCATATGAATGATGGGAAAAAACTTAGTGCAGTAGTAATTCGTTCGGCCAATACTCAGGACAGTGGAAAGTACAGCTGTATTGTGTTTAATAAAACAATTCAGGAAACGTTTTCAACATTTATCACTGTACAAGGTTCATATTTTTAATGAATGCAAACCTTTTTATTATTGAAAACAAATTTTTTATGATATTGAAATGAAGATTAATGTCATTATTTTTTTCTCCCATTAAAAATCAAAAAGATATCATAGACAGGCGTTGTGCTAACGTGGTCATGAGTGAGTTTTCAAAGAAAATGCAGTTTTTGTTAATCAAACAAATTTAAGAGTCATAGTTCGTAACAATAATTGAAATGAGCATATGGTTCTTAAGTTTATTGATTTATGTGCTCTATAAGCTAGTTTTGCGAGGTTTTTCCGCGACACTTGCATCAAATGCTTTTGTAATGTAGTTGCGCCAATATTATTGGTTAAACGCCCGGTGAAAAGGATCGCTGGAACTCTTGGAACAACTATTAGACTCCGTTGTTCAAGTTCAGTTGAACCACATGATACTTCGTTTGAAATAAATTGGTACAAAGATGGAAAAAGAGTAATTCCATTCGGAAGAGCAAAGGTTGATTCTTTTTCCTTTCGAACTTAATGTATTTTTGTAACATCTGGTTTTAGAATGATCTTCTGCTCCAAATAATCACTGAAAGTCTCAAGAAACTTTCAGGGAAAAGATTTTTTTTAATAAAAGCAGAACTTTATCTTGATATTATCACGAAACAAAATAATGAAAACAAAATAAGAAAATATGTATTTCTCTTCCTTGAAGTTTGACATTTCGACCTTTAAACAAATAAGAAACATTTTCATATATTATACATATTTTTTTTGTATTTCATGTTAATAACTTATCATATGAATGGCAAATTCAAGAATCAGGAAAACTATCTTAAGTTGGATCGGAGTTGTGAGTGAAAGAGCAAATATAGATTATAAGCTGATATTTATTTTTCTCACCATTGATGCTGGAATACCTTTCTCTTCTGTAATAATACAGGATTAGTAGCTCAAAGTTCGCCACAATCAGCAATGATAACTTCTTGTGATGTTTCGCCGGATTCGGAGCCGACAGCCTCAATTTTCTTCACTACATCCATTCCTTCCACAACCCTTCCAAACACAACGTGTTTTCCATCTAACCAGTCAGTTTTAGCAGTACACAGGAAAAATTGAGAACCGTTAGTATTTGGACCGGCATTCGCCATTGATAGAATTCCTGGCCCAGTATGTTTTTCGATGAAATTTTCATCTTCAAACGTTTCTCCATAAATCGATTCTCCTCCGGTACCATCACCATTTGTGAAATCGCCTCCTTGACACATGAATTCAGGAATAACTCGATGAAATTTGCAACCTTTGTAATGTAAAGGTTTTCCAAGTTTGCCTATACCTTTTTCACCGGTACATAAGCAACGGAAATTTTCTACTGTTTTGGGTACTATGTCATTGAAAAGTTCCATGATAATACGTCCTGCTGCTTGATTATTAATAGTAATGTCGAAGAAAACACGTGGTCGTCCTTCACATTTTTTTCCTTTCTCACCATCAGTTGTTCGGCTTTTTACTTCGCCTCCATCTGCGTGATTATTCTTTTTTTTAACGCACATTTTAAACGATTTTCGCAACAGAATAAATTGAAATGTAAGCGACCGTACGGCTGCAGCTAAATTAATAAAGTCTTTTTGTTCCAATAAATTCTCTAATTTATTAGTCTGTTTATGCAAATGGATAATTTTCCTTTTCAGTTCATATTTAGTACATTAAAAATACAGTAAATTAATCATAATATTAGTAGTTTTTGTTTCATTCATCATAACACTTTAAGTAAGCAAAAATAAATAGTATGCTGTATGCCTCAATATCTTTTTTTGTGGATATTAATCATATGACACTTCATTTGTGAACAATGTCAACATAAGTCACTACGTTACATTTGGTGTTGTTTTTTTTAAATCAGTTTTATTATTTTTCTGTGTTACTATTTTTTTATGAGTGAGAATCATAGTATTTATATATCTGACATAAGTTCGCCTTTAGTGCCTTTAGTGCTGTTATTTGCCAAATTTACTCGAGGTATCGTAGTGAGTTATTGACGTGCCTACATATTAGTCATAAGTTTTCACAGATATTTAATAGTCTATTTTCATTTTTCAAAAAAATTTGGAATAAATTATATCTCAAGTATTTGCCAAATTTTTTAGTTACAACCAGCGAGCGGCTTTGCTTCAGAGATCATTATGAATGAAGTGGGTACAACTTTGGTTGAATTTACGAAGGATTTAGTTTTATCAAGCGTGCAACGGACAGATCAAGTAATTTTTGCTGATTCCTCTTGTACTCAGTTTCATACTTAATCTATTTGTCTATTACAGTACTATAAATTATTTACATGGGTACTGTAACTAGATAAATAGATTGTTAAACTTGTCACATGTTTTTTATACGATCGCTATGTGTGTTTTTTATGACGCATTATTTAAGGGATTGTATCAGTGTATCACTAGTAATAGTGTAGGAGAACGAAGTGCTTTTATTGGATTGGTTATTGAAGCCGAAATTGATTCAGTGATAACAAATCTTAAAGTTACCGTGGACCATAAAAAGTAGAATTTTTTACTTTTGAAAAAAAGAAAATGGAACCTTTTAATTTGCCTGTCATTTATACACATGAAATTGCGGATTAAAAGATATCAGTATGAATATTATTTAAATAACAATTGGAATTTACTTGGTATGTAGCAATATTTGCAAATCGAAAAAGTGTTTTGAATCGAGATTTAAATCACATATTGATTTTACAGTCCATAAAATCATTTCCTAACCATAATGCATTATTTTGCAGTGATAGATTTTGAGTACTCTCATTTGGAGAACTTATGGTTCTTCAAATTGCTCAAGTAGTTATTCAAGGGATATAATACCGCTAAGAACATATCTTTATGTCGGTAGATGAAAAATCTCTAATTTTAGTGCTCAGTTCAGCTTGAAATGGCATTTACCTGCAACAATGGATTATTTAGACGCTGATCGATCAGTATTTTTGTTGAATTATTATTTGTCGGATGGTTAGTATTATTTGATTCCTTAAAAGTATATTTTGGTAGGCTATAAATATTTCGAATATGCGGTGAATTATTTTCTTTACGAATTAAGATTTATTTTTAATCTACTACGCATTATTTTTTATAGGTGGTAGTGCAAATAACGTGCCATTGCGTAATGCTCATTGCACACCTGATAATTGGTGTATTGCCAAATGTTGTTCAGCAAATTATGTATTTATTCCTCGACGGAATTATACATTTCAAATGTCATTGTTGCAGATGGATACAGTTGGCAAAATTTCACCCCTTTCTGAACATGTAACAGCTCTATCTTGGGATGGGGGTATTTTTCCATGATATTTAAATCAATTTAATTTTTCTCGTATGTTTAGAATTATAGGGAAAGACTGAAAATTTTCTAATTGTGAACTTATATGTCTGTTTCATCTGGCAATGTTGCGAGATGTATAACTTTGTTATAATATTGTGATAAAATAAATAAGATGAAAGAAAAAGTCTAAATATTGGGAATATATATATCAGTATTATTTCTTCGTTTAGTTTCACAGAAAGCAATGGAACTTAGCATAAGCAATCCAAGTGAACATACAGTGGAGATTTCATGGAATCATCCATCCACAGATGTCACAAATGGCATCGTACAGAAGTGAATCTATTATATAATTCGTGTTTGATTAGTATCATTTCTTCATGCAAAGAATCTAAATTGATCAAAATGTACTATCCAAGTATTTTATTGTACATTATTTTAGAATCTTTTTTTAGAATTAATGCATAAGAAAGAGAAAGGAGATCGGAATATATTATTTTATATTATCCTTTTTTAGATATCTTCTCGAATATTACAAAGATTCCGCTCATGAACGGGATGTGAAAAGGAAAGATATTTCGCTAAATTCAACTACATGCCTTCTTCATAGTTAATACTTTTCAGTAATTTCGTTTCTATAGATGAAGGATTTTAAAAGTTAAATGGTCTGTCGATATGAAATTGAGGTCTATGGAAATTAATATGAAATATATGTAGTGCTTATTATTTCAGTCCATATATCACATTTAAGATTAACTTGTCTCGTAAATTCAGTCAAAAGGAATTTTTCACGAATAAATATGTTTGAATACAGTGGTAGAGAAGTTAAAAAGAATTATTTTTTAAAAGTGATGCTAGAATTAAGAAAGATTAATCGAATCGACAAGTCCAGTTCTCATGTTGAAATGATCACTGTATATATGAAAAAATTTTTTTTATTTTTTGTTCGTGAGTAATTTCCAAAATTGTGTTGGAGAAGGAGCTTTTGTAGATATGGAGTCAAATGCAGTGTACCGTTTCCGAGTTATTCCAGTAACACGTAACGGTCTTCCATCCAGAGTATATCTAAAATCGAATCCTAACTTCACTTTCATCGGATACATGGTAGATTCGACCATTAAAAATTTTAACCGTGGTACTGGATCATTACCATTTGATATTAAGCAGGTTCTTTGTTTATAATTGCTGTGGTTATAAAGTTGCATTTTGTTTATTGATATAATTTTTAATTTTATAAAAAAATTCAATATATCATGGTATTGCTTTCTAATTCGAAGTTTTTATCTTTAGAAAGGCATTACAATTACTGTTAATTGGAATAAAATGCAAGATCTTTCTGTCAACGGTACTAATCATGGTACAAACAGAAATCTAGCAGTTGCTATTCGTTATGCTCGTTCTGATATTTATCCACTGAGAGAAGAAGTTGAAGAAACTTCCGTAATGAGTGGAGCTATAATTTTAAACGCTAATTTTAATTTGGTACTCACTAATATCTTTTTCAGTGAAATCTCATTTCATTAAATATGTATTGTATATATAGCTGATTAATTTTAGCATTTATTTTAAAAGGAGACAAACTTAACTGCACTTTCAAAAGATGAAAAATTTAGATTTTGCTATGCTAGTACGTTACTTTCTAGTTTTGATGTTGACTTATTAACACATGCTTGGTTTATTCAGACGTATGCATGTCTTTCATCTTTCTTCTGGAAGAAAAAAAAACTTTAGAAATCATTGCTTTAAGATATGTCTAGTGATGGATCTTGAATGAGTTCAGTTTTGCTGAAGATTATTTAATTTCAGTCTCGAGTTTATCAGTTCTGTAGTCGTTTGTACGATGGCATCTTTCATGGTCCTGATTTTTGTCGCATTTATCGATTGCTACCAATATCAGGGAACCAGCTGTATAGTGAAATTGCAGTCAGCACAGATGGCTTACCGAGCCCAGTTTTGTGTGATAATCGTGAGTTAATATATTGTTGTTGATAACTGTAAAACAATTTAAGAGACAGATAAATTATGCCTCGTTGTTATCAACATGGGAATTTTGTAATAAGGCTTGTTACTTGTTAATTCTTATCGAAAATATGCATTTTATTAGACGAAATGAAATGTCGCTGCGAATCATCTTTTGAATTTGGTGATGCGATGAGAGTGATATGGGACTGGCCAGTCGATGATTACAGTGCTGATGAATTTGTCGTGCACTATATTTTGAGTGAAAGTATTTTACCTGAAGATGATCGATTAGTTATTACGTATGTGTTTTTAATCCTATTTTCAAATTACTTGTGTTTACATATTTCTGTGGCATTATAAATACTACCGAATGAAGCGATGAGGTGGCAATATTATATCTGTCTCATTTTTCAAATGAAATTTATATAAGTGTAGTCGAACTAGGAAAAGAAAACCATAATTAGTGTTTTCACAAAATTTTAGGGATAAAGCGTTCGCAGATTTACCAAATCTTCGATCAAATACAACTTATCGCCTTATGATAGAAGCTAGGAATAAATTAGGTGGTGTTGATGGCTCGTGGTTCGATTGCACTACTCCTACTCGTAATTATTTTGTATCTAATGCAGTATTGCTCCCAATCATTAATCTTATTAATATCTCTATTTTTTCACGTAATAAAGTCAAAATGGTTTAAATAAGATATCATCAAAAAATTGTTAAGTAAAAATTGCAGTTAAACAGATTCCGGCACCAACAGGAGTGGAGTATGAAGAGCTAAATGCAACAACTGTCCGAGTATCTTGGAATCCGATACATCCAAATCCGCACTGGAGCACACCAGTTGGCTATGTCATACAAATTCAATCATCATCATCTTTTTTGGGATCAGTGAAGGACATTTCTGGTAGCATTGTTATTATAAATATGTAGCTGTAAATCTATTTCCAAATTCAGAAGTAGTAAGAAAAGTTTTTAATTATCATTAAATGTTTCAGTTGATGGTATGAGTGCTACAAATTATGTGATAACATTAGAACCTGATGCGTTTTATACATTTCAAGTGGCTGCACGTTCGAGTAGCGGTGATTTGGGACTACGCTCATCACCATATCTGTTTACACCTTCAAACATCAATAAAAGTAGTTCTGTCACTGGATATGGCGAAATTGGTGTCAAGAGATTGAAAACACTCACACTAGAATCAGCTCAGGGAGTCTTAGTTGGCACGATTGTAGTTATGGGTTTACTGACTTTATGTTTCGGTGGTATCTGTGCTTATTTGAGGTACTAGTTGAAAATGCTTATTTTTTCACTTTTGAGTAGAGTTTAAACATTTAAAACGCGCTCATTTAACTGCAGTTGAAAATATGTTTGCAAAGGTGTCATTTTTTTACCAACAAATTTGAATTGCAAATTAAGTTCTGTACGAAAATAGAAGTACAAGTCGGTTGTTAAATTTTCATAAAACTTGAGGAAAGAAAATTACAAAAAAATTTTTTTTGCTGTTTTATTTTGCCATATAATTTTTATTTCTTAATGTCTGACTTAATTTGCATCCATAAAACTGTCTTGATGTTCTATGAAAATTTTATTTTCGGATAGTATGTACATTTCCATATTTTAGGATAAAACGACGTAAGTTAGAGGTGGCATTGAGTTTCATTGCAACTAATAGTCGTGGAGTTAATACTTCTAATATTAATAACACAAATGTAAGAGTTCTTCTTGTTTGTAGATCTGAACTTGTGCTTACTGAGTTTGATTTGGCGTGTAAAGTATAATAATTTGTATGTCTTTGAGAAAAAAACAGCAGAAGAAATTTTAAGAGCAGCTTTGAGACAAAAAAAAACTTTTTTGTAGTATGAAATGGAAGAGTTGATTAAGCGACAACGATCTGGTATGATTGATGGTATCGAAAGCAAGTGTATGAAAAAGTATACATCGAATGGTTACTTGGTGCTTCACCAGTTGAATAGAAACAATAACTTATCAAGTGAAGAGGGCGAGTTATATCTGGATACAAAAGGTGGTGAACAAGGGGCATTCCCAAGTGGTCAAGACAAATATTTAAAGTAATGTTTATTTTTAAGATCACAATACTAGAATGAAGGGATACCCTCATTGTGTTTAAAGAAATATGTGCATGTCAATGTGCATATCGAAATCACTTTTTGATATCTGATCATTTCAGATTACAATTTCACTGGCTGATTTCAGCGTGCCATAGTTTTGTTTTATTATTATTTTCTTGTTCTTAAGTCAGTCTCTCGTTATTTTAGATTATTGAAGGATAGAAATCAGATGCAGCAATTGAAGGAATTCGTTTTTTTAACTGAACAGAAACCTGTCAAGGTTTGATTTGTAGAATAATTTGTTTAGTGTTTAATTGCATGTTTCAATTTCTTATGCAAATGTAGGAGTAAGAAAAAGTACTGAGTTTGTGGCATCGATCATTTTTTTAGAATAGTCGCTCTTTGCTAAACATAATGATTTGTCAGTGATTTTGAAGTTTGTGTCAACATTTGCTACTTCACGTTTATCTGAAGGGAAAAATTTGCAAGCGTTATTTTTTTTTCAGAGCCCCATATCTTGCAGAAAAAATTCAGTAGGTATAACTGAAAGAAGAAATCGTCTCGCGATAAGTGCATCAAATCAAGAACGACTGGATTCAAAATGGATTCCTGTAGCTTCTCCTACCTCAGATCCATGGACTAGCAACTTACTCTCAAAAAAACAAATGTAGTGAAATCGTGAAATATATGTAATTCTATCTACTATTTACTAGGTATCTATAGTTTGTTTTTCAGGACATATAGTGATTCAAGAAAAACCTCAACTCGAAATTTGAATTCAAGTCGTACATTGATGAATAGCTGTAATGACGGAGTTACAGCGCCACATTTTTTGTCAAAACTAATTGTTTTGTCTGATGTTACTCGACGAAATACAGCAAGTCATGTGGAACGGATGGATTCTAGTACCAGTATAATTTGTTCTAGATCAGTATCTGAGCAGTCAAGTTGCAAGGTATGGTGGCGTTCGAAAGGATTCGTTTGCAAAACAATACACAACGATTCTTTTTTTGCAATTGTTCAATTTGTACATTGTAACTTACTTTGTAGTCTTTTTTTTATGCCATCAACATCTTTTTAATTTTTATTTAATGTTTTTTGGAGTATAGATAAAAATTTGGTTACGAAAAATTTGCTTTTGTATAATTTTTCCAAATACATTTTTCACTATTCTTTTAAAAATTATAGCAAAATGGCGTTATTAAGAAACGAAATGATAGTGTTGAGATGGAAACTCAGATCAAAACCAGTCCTGTGCAGAACTTATGTAACACTACTTCAAGTCAATCATTGTATGTTATTCTTTACTTTCGTTTTTTCATCCTTATAGTTAACGCTTTTTATTATGCCATTTAAAATAGCTCGCGAAGAAAAGCTCTATTTAGTAGTTTTTAGTCTACAGAAACTGTACCACACATGCTAACCACTCATGTTTCTGTCTGTTATTCAAAAGATTCAGAGCCACAGATCGTCAGGCTGAATCTTTAATGTAACAAAAAGAGAAAAAAGGTTTATGCTATTCCGTACATTCATGATGTTTCCTCCAATTAGCTTGATATTTCTAGTGTGTTTCAGGACTTGGTACGATGCTGCATCGGTTGAAAATGGCAGCATTATTCGACAGCCTCAGGATGCAGTTAGAAATGTGTACACGACTATTAATAAAGGGATTTCGTCGTGTTATTCATCTATGCCCAATCTTACAGATTCAGGTATTGTATATGATGAAATCCATCCTTATTCGCTTCCTCCATATCCTTCACCGCCACCAGTAAACAGTAAACAAATTGAAAGGTAGTAACTATCATTAGAAACACCTTCTCACTTGTTCTCGCATAAATGTTACTTTTATCTTACTCAGGCATCTATTTAATAACTTTTTTTTCATTCAATGTGTCAAAATGTGCAAAATTTTATTCATGCGAGTATTTATTAGAGTAGTTCTGCAATCGTTAGTTAAAGCTTGAGGAAGTAACTATAGTAAAACTGTTCCAGATTTTCAAATTTACTTTCCAAAAATGTCAGCTCATCCATTACTCTACCTCACATCATTCTTATCAGTTTGGTTTAATTTGTATTTGGATGCGAATATAAATATCAAGCTTATGTAATGAAAAAGAATAAATGTATTGCCTTAGTTTAGTTGTAGAGGAAAAGTAGTGATTTAAAAATGTTTTTAATAAAAATAAGTCATGAAATGCTTTTAGTGATTGTGAATTTTTGTTAGAACAGTACTGTAATTACTAGTAGAATTTTAGAAAAAAATACGAGGGTAGATATTTATGTACAACTTGCGGCATTGAGACAAAAAATTTTCATCAGAAAAGAACGTGAAAATTTTTATTAATTGGGTTTTTATAGTATTTAGTCTAATTTGTTTCAGTTCCTGTGATAGTCATATTATAAGTTATCTTGTCGTTGCTAGTTTTTATTTATTTACTTGCATTGTAATTATGATTGTTATGATGTTTTTGTACTGCTGTTTTTAAGTAATCTGCCTCGATAAGTTTATTGTTTTGCTTTATAAAAATAAGTTTTTTTAGATCCAATTTTTTATCAGTTCTAATTTTAAATTTCAAATAATTTAAATATGATAATGAACATAATTGACCGAACTCAGATATTTCGATTAGTCGCCAATTTTATTGATTAGTGTGTTAATGATATATCTAAACCGATGTGATCATTAAATTGAAGTGTCAAATGGATTTTGAATTGACTAAAAATAATGTTTTGGTATTGAAGTTTTTTGAAATGATTTGTTGTTTATCGTATTCGGTAACAAAACAGGGATGTAAATAATCAGTCTGTTATTGAATGATTGTATTTTCAGAATATGTACATGGTACAGATTTTTTTAAGCAGACTTATTCGGTCGTGCTATATTTGGAATTAAGAATTATGTTTACTTTACTGAAATTGTGTAATAACTATTACCTCGATTCTCGAGCTGCGTATTTGTTATATTTGTTTTTCGGTTTTTCAAAATTGTTAAACGTTTGCCTGTGAAGTTCTGGTACCTCTTTTCTGTCTCGTACTCATAGTTCTTCTCTTCTATCAATATGTTTAAAATAGTAAGGAATTTTTTTTTCTTTAGATTTTTGAAAATATTTGTAATCGTTAAAATGACAAATTTTTAGCACCACATGAAAAATATTTGCTTGACTTGCTCTTTTCAATAGGAAGAAAGTAATTATTTGGATTTGAATAGAAGTTTTTGACTTCAGTCGTACAAAATCATAAAGTGAATGTATGGAGGCTGGAGCAGTATTCTATGAGTTCTTTTCATGTTAAATACTGTAAATTTGTTATTGTATTATTTTAGTTATTTTGTCACCACATGAGTATGTATCATTTTTACAGATGTAATTTTATATACAAAAATATTGGTCTCTTCCAAGCAACGTTATTTTCAGCAAAAGTAGGTATTGATTTCACTCGAAATTTAGATTTGTTAAAGTTCAGTTCGTATTTCTAGGTGATGTAAATTCATGCTTTTCACTATGATATATTTCTATAAGTTGTCGTTAGTCACAGTAAGTAATTAGTTTTGATTTTTAACTTTGGTTTGCAGTAAAGTCCTAGTTGCTTCTCCAGAAATATGTTTCTGTTGTACTTTGCTTCACCTCTACCTATACTGCACATCTGTTTTTTGAACCCTCATATATCGCTTTTTCCATATTCGATCTTTTCAAATAATTCTGCTTTTGCAGTTTTTGTTCATACACGTTGACTTGTTTCGTTACTAACTGAAGTTTATTTCTGATTTCAATGGAATATATTTATTCATCAGGATGAGAAAGTTGTCTCACAAATTGTGTGCCATACGAAAATTAAGAACACTTCTAGATAGTTTCCAGTTTAAAGAAGCTTGCTACTATTAAGAACCCAACATTTTGATTTTGGTGAGTTGTATCTACTTTGGGGATTTGACGGCGTAGCAGGACCCGCCCCATATTCTTCAACTGTATAAATATCATGACAAATTTTAATCCAATTGTAATCAACTTCGAGTGTTTGTACTTGGAGCTACGCTGTCTAAAATATTACTAGTATGAGCAGAGATGTTTGATGATAGATTAGAGAGACTGGTCGGAGTGATGGTAATTACTCAATACAGTCAAATTCAGTTTGGTATTCGTATTAAGCCAGAAATTGTATTTAATGTTGCGGTTGATAATTACTAACATGAGACTCGTGATAAATAACCAAGCTTATAAAGAAATGGCTGGTCTAAATATAATGTCATGCAATCATCATATAATCATCTAACCAAACTTCTTTTTTCAAACATCGTTTGTAGCCAAACTTTTCCAGTGCAATCTGAAATGCTTCTCTACATGCATTATTCATTATAATTTTGAATTATCTTATATTTCAGCCGTAAGAAAAATTTGCAAACGACAAATCCTAGAACATATGATTCCAATTTAACACCATAAATTATATAATTGTGAGACAATAGCAAATTTTAGAATTCATAGGACTACCAACTATTCATAATTACTACGCCTATAGAAGGATGGATGAAAAAAGTAGAGAAAAAGAACGAATAAATAATTACATACTTATTAATCTTTGACAGACAACAAACAAAAGTAAATGAACAAACATATTAGAGCTTATTGTATAATCACTACTGCATTATGCTTAATACACATTTGTAGAAATATGAGAATTTTGCAAATTAGGCAAACAAATAAATAGCTGCAGTAATTAAAAGTATATAAAAAGTAGTTAAATCGAAAAGATGTGAATTTAAAAAAATACTGAGATAGTACGAGATACAACAGTTTTCAGAGTTTGTCGATAGATGACTCAAAAATTTAAAATGGTCGAATTTATAATCCATGTAATATAGGGATTAATATACTGGAATTTGTGAAATGAATGAATGTGCTTTTCGTTGCTCAAAAATATTACAAAAGTTAAAAAAAGAAGATCAAAACTTTAAGGAGAGAACAAGTTCGAAAGTATAAAGTAAGAATTAGAACGCATCATACCCGAAGAAGGAAAAAGAAGACGTAAATATACAAAAGAACTTAATTAATTTAACATTTAAAGCGTCAAAGCCTGCTTAAGCAAGTCAAAGTACTAGAGACTCAATAAATAATCACGATTTATGTTGCAAGCAACTGCTTATAAAAGGGTTTTTAACTTTACTATAGCAAAGCAATAGTTGAGGTAAATTTGATATGAATATTTTCTCTATAAATTTTAAATCTGATTTTTCGATGTTGCAAACACACTAAGCAAATCTAATCTGTCAATAGTTCAGAATTTAAGACTGATAGTAAGTTTATAGCAATCAGCGAATATAATAAAATCTTTGATTTCTTACAACTTTCCTCGACTTCAAGCTGAGCTATCAAAGTACTCGACAAGTTTTTAGAAGTATGCTACTGATCGTTTTGGCAGTGAAAAATGATTCAGCTACATTCAAAAAAAAATATTTAAAAAGTCGTTACAAAAATATTTTAAAAAATTTAAAATAATCTCAGATGCCGCCTCCAGAACGTAGTACTGACACTGGCTGTGGTTCAAACTGATCTAGATATCTTGCCAATCGATTTTGAGCTATTTGACCACCTTTCAATCCACTATATAGCTGAAATCATGACAAATTTTGATAAAATTATCAAATTACGACAAGAAATATGTTTGCATTTATTTACAATTACTTGAAAGACGTCACTGTCAACTTATTTAATCAAAATAAAATGTATATGAATTTCTGATATCAATTTAAGCATGATCAAAACATAAAAAGTTTGCTAGCAGTCATTTCACAAAACATCGAATGCAATATTTCAGTGTGACGCGCGTTGATTAGCTACATGCTTTCTTAGAATATAGTGATCTCACTAATTTTATTAAATTATCGAATAAGTAATAACTTACTTGTATGAACTCATCAAGGTCAATCTCTCCATTTTTATTCAAGTCAACCTCGTTAAGCAGTTCATGAAGCACACTTTCGTCTAATTTACTCCCGTATTTCTGTAGAAATAATATAGATTAAAGTAAATTAACAAAATCAAAACTCGGATGAATTTCAACTAAGACACTAAATCAAAAAACATTGATTGCAAGTCTATATAGAAATATAGCATTTTTAAACTTCTGAGGTGTAAAACTTTTGATTTCAGATCGTTGCCTAGAAAAACCTGAAAATAGGCTACTTAATATTTTTCTATGGTTCGAGACAATATTCATGAGAAAGTTGGTGATTACCAAAAAATGACGTCGAAGATCATTCACTGTTATGTGACCTTTGTTTTCTTTATCCAGCGTTTTGAAACGCTGGCGTGCCGCTTCCATTTCTTCTGCTGTTAAACTGATTTTCATTGAAGACAGTGAATGATTCCGAGCATCTTGTCCCATCTCTACATCAATAAATTTTCGAGCTGCATCTAACTGTCTCTGTAAAATTTCTCTGAATGCAACGGAAGAATAAAAAGTAAATCGATTACAAAAAATGCAGTCCGATGAAATAAATTGCGCATAAATCAATAGAACGTAATTCATAACAAATAAGTTTAAGACGAATTTTCATCTAACATATTAATTGGTTGTCAACAGAAATTTTTTATTCAAAAAAAACTGAATCTAAATCTCCTTCAAGTTACTAATATGTTGCTAGAAAAATATTACTGATGAAATTAACAAAATGGGATATGGTTTATAATTACTGTAGAGCACTTCACAATAGTTATATTTTGAAGAAAATTTTCTACCCGTTTTTCCGCCACTGACCAATTGAGCTCTTCAGCCATTATATCTACAACTCTATCAAGAACTTCGTGTGCTGCATATGTATTTAAAAACGCTAAACGTAAACGACGCGCAATAACATCAATAGCTGAGCATGCATATTCTTTCATCGCATACAAGACCTAAAATGAAGAAAACACATTTTTTATTTTGTAGTCTTAAAGAAAAAAAACCGATCATGACAGCTTCACTATAATAACTAAAAATAAAGATAAAGGTCTATAAAATAATCGAAATAGCAGATTCTCGATAAATGATAATGCGGGAGGATCATCCATCAAATATGATATTCAGATAAATTAAATTCTTCCATTATATGCAAAGCAATAATTTACAATTGATTCATAGGGCAAAAAGCTACCTCAGCCTCAACATACGGAAATTCTGAATGCAATCGATGCCCAACGATAGGCCATCGTTTTCCAGTCATTTTTGACATTCTGGCAACTGCAAATGCCTTATCACCGTAGGTGGAGACCAAATGTCGTGCAACCTGCAAACTTTTATTGTTGCAAAATCCAATTATAAATGATTATTGAAAAGAAAATGAAAAACAAATCAAAACATAACATTCTGAATTTGCTTTTTAAATCACCTATCAAAAAAACCAAAATTTATTCCGTGATACACTTACATCTTCATCTAAACCATAATCTTGTACAAGACGTATATGAAGTAGAGGATTCCAATTATGTGCACCTTCAAGCAGAAGTCCAGCGGTTATACAATCCCGTTTTGGTTTTAAATTTGCAACTTCAACTACTTTATTGACTGTCTCCTCAGCCATATGTCTGTAAGTTGTCCACTTTCCTCCTATGATGGAAATTGTTGTTTAAACTAAATTTGTAAAATGTTTAAAGAATAGGATATTATATTATATATCTATATATCTATATATATCTATATCTATAGAGTATTTGATATCACACGAGAAAGAGAAAAGTGGTACTTTTAGCAATCTGTAGCTCGACGTGCAAGAAATAACATCATATACAAACTAAGCAAAATCTGAATAACAATCGATCTAGAATTACTGCATTCCAAAAAACATGCTTGGTTGGAAAATGAAAGTTCCACACCTGCAATCGTCACTAGTCCACTTTTTGAAACCTCAATGACATGATTTCGAGCCAATGACTTTGTATCCTTTTTATTTGGATCCTTTACCAAAGGTCTTAAACCTGACCACGCACTCATTACATCACCTCTCCGAACTAAAACAATTTCCTACATCTTAAAAATTATGCAAAAAAACAACAGTTTCATCCAAAATTGTATAGCAACCGAATTACAAAAAAAGTAATGCTTTAATTTTCGAATGAAGAAAAACACATACCGCTGACATCACTTGAAAGATAATGTCTTATCTCTCGAAGAATAAATTCAATGTCAACATCACTGGGAGATGGATGGAAAGTTAAGGGTACCGGTACATCAGTTGTTCCTGCTACCGTCATACGTTGCCATGGAAGGAAAAATATCACACGGCCATCACTTGTAGAAGGATCTAGTAGTCCAGTCGATGAAGGACTAAAAATACTCTTTATTTTGGATAACAAATGTTTACAAAATGTATTAAATATCAAATAAAAATATGACGAAAGCAACAAAATTAAGGCACGGTATCGGCAAAAACTAAAACTATAATAAAAAAATCTTTCAAAGCTGTAATAAGAAAAACTCTCTATAGATATATAATATATAATACAGAAAAAACAATGTGACAGTGTGAAATTTTTATTAACAGTTAAAAAATGTATGAGTGATTACAAAATATTGGAACATTTATCCATAAAAGATTTCTTAACTCCAAGAACTGTGATTTTTTAAAACGATCGCTAAAACTTACCTGTAATAACCGGGAAGAACAATATGAACACCAGCCGATGGCTGACAAATCGGTTTCGTATCTGGATCAGCCATCAAACGAATGGAATCAGTAAAAGGACCCGTAGCATTTACTACAGCTTTGGCACTTACATCCCATTCTTCGTCAGTTAACTGTAAATTAACTGTCTTTCTATAAAATTAAATGACTAAATCTTCTTGTTTTAAATTTCTTGAAAAATTTAGCAGAACAGTTTTGCATCAATATTAACTAACTGCTCCTTCTTTTGATGATGTAACATTTCTGTTCACAATCATGTACATATGCATGATTTTATGGATATCAATTTATATAAGAAAAATAATAAAAATAGAACAAGCAAATTTTTACCACTTTTCGTTAAATGTTACGATAAAAAGCAAAATATTTATACTAACACAATCAATGACATGAGCACCGCAAATTTTGCCTTCTGCATCCTTCAATATTTTGTCAACTTTTACATGATTTACAGCTTTGGCACCATGACGTATAGCAGATAAAATTATAGCGATATTCATGCGAGCATCATTATGCTGACCTGAAAATGAGGCAAATAACTTTGATACAAATACGAAAACACATTCTCATCATTTATTTGTTCAGTGCGTAAAGTGTTGGTAAAAACACATTATCAAAAGAAGGCAAAGACAGAGAACAAATCCCTAAAGAAATCTCTTTGCTGGACTCAGCTAAACAAAATGAAACTTGAATCTAAAATTAATCATACTTTAATAAAGCCAACAAGAATAAATCTAAACAGCAAAGAAATTAAAAAATGAATAAATCAGACTTGAACTAACCATCGTAATAAATCAAAGCTCCAACTAGTGATTCTTTTTTTAGCATCGGAAAAAGATCTAAAGCTTGGGCTTTGTTTATATAATAGGATTTTTTTAATACTCGCTTGCCAGAAACGAAGTCGTATGCCTTTATACCTAGCCAGTAATAAGGAACTTGCCACAATCTGAAATATGAATAAATTATACGTAAAATTACACATATCCAAATTTTTGTCTTGCCTTCTTTGGTTTTGTTTCTCGAACTTGGTGTTTCTTTGCTCATGAAGTTATTGAAATTTGCAGTCAAACTTCCTTCTTCAAACAGCTTGCATAAGTAATCAGACAATTACTTGTAAATAGGTAGCATAATTGGTAACGGATATGAAAGATGAGGCGCGCAATGAATAAGATTAGCACGCTCAAACAAGGCTTCTTTCACCATTCGATACTGTTCCAAGTCTAATCCGAATATCGCTGCCTGTAAGTATCGAACTCCTCCATGAATCAATTTTGTACTTCGAGAACTTGTTCCACTTGAAAAATCATCTAATTCTACTAAGGCTGTTTTGAGACCTGTAATTGATTTGCTCGTAATTTCTTTCTATCTGTCAAAATCGCAACCATATTTTAAATTTGTGTTGTACATTTTCGTTAAATAAGCAAACAAATTACATATAAACGAAAATGTGAGTAAATAACCGCTCCTGTTAATGTGACTTTGTTAAAATCTAGAAATAACATGTCTGGACCAAAGAAATGATATACAACTTAGAATACCAACATGAAGATAAATATGAAGGAATAGAATGAAAAGATGATCAAAAATTTGATTACTTTTACTTCATCTATTTATACCTCGAGTTTGTGCATCTAAAGCGACACCAGCACCCGTGGCACCACCACCAATTACCAAAACATCAAATTTATCAGTTTTTAATGACTGAAAAAGAAAATTAGAAATTTTTTTAATCAATGACTTCAACAAAAATGTAATGAAAACCAAATCAGTCACAAAAATTGATTCGAGTATTATTTTTAATCCAGAGTGATAAAATTAATATGACCCTTTATACTTCAATAATTTTCATAAAATCGAATATAAACTAAGCCCAACCACAATCCGCTTTCAAATACAAATATTTTTTCGAATAACTAAAATATATTTCTGACATGAAAAAAAAATACTAATTCGAAGTATACCTGAATTAAATCTTTTCGTGTAGGTAATACTCCCGAAATTCGTTTGTTAAGATTGATGTGAGTGTCAGCATTGTCTGCCTTCAAATATAAATATTTTTACATACATACGCGAGGTTTAATTTTTAATCATAACATACTAAGTTGTAAAGCATTTGCTAATTCTTAATAGCATATAATTCTGTAATAGCTTGCTTCATTTTATTTAATTAATTAACATGGAGCGAAAAAATTTTCAAAAACATGAGAAAAAAACACGTAAAACAATTTGTTTCGCAAAAACTTGCCAACACTTTACGGAAACGCGCTGTCGTACTGAAATCAATCTGCCATAAGGACAGTGCTGAAGTGAATACTATGCCACCACTACCAATAATTAATAAACGTCGTAATCCTATTTGTTTTACAGAAGAAAGTAGTCTCATACACCACGATGCCATTTATAAGAGAAATAATTAGTATGTTAGACGCACAACACCTGAAAAATATAAATATAGTAGAACTGTAATTACAAAAATGATATCACTTATAGATCTGATATTTTACTTTGTAAATTACAAAAAAAAAAATACCAATTTCAATTTTCTAAATTGAGACTACATTTTTTGACAAATGCTGAAAAAAAATGAGTGAGAGAGAGTTTAAATCTGAATTGTAATGCTATGATTTCAATATTAAAAATTAATATCTGAAAATAGCATAAATAAATGTAAAATGAAGACTAAAACTGATACTAATATTGGTACAAAAACAGATATGAAAGTGAAAAGCTGAAATCCATCTCTAATACTAATCCAAACACAACCAAATCGAAGCTAAACTTAAACTGTATATTAAAGCAAAGCAAAAAAATAATATAAGCATAAACTGTATTTGAAAACATTGACGATAGCGTATGATTAGAAATTTTATCATATTTTTAACGAATCTTTCACGAACAAAACTGCAACTTTTTCACGTATAATTTAAGTGACACGTAGCGTTGAACTGAACAATGAATAAAAGTCATTGCATTTCTTCAGAAGTACACAGAAAAATGAAAAAAAGTTTGTATTTGTCTTTTCTTACAGAATCACAAATGCTTTTCTTCGAGTCAATTGAAAATAGTACACATATGTGGTAGAAAAGATATGGAAAATTATTATTATCATGATAACTGGTAGGAATAGAAATTGAAGAAAAAGAATGAAAACGATAAAAAATTCGAAAAGCAAACAATACAAAACGTTAAAGTATCACTTGACAAAAAGCATTTCAAAAAATTTGCCCTCAAATTTTACAAAATTTTTCAAATAATCAAATTTTAGCAAGTAAAATGATAGAAATAACAATAAAATAAGCGATAATATTCAGTCAAATACTTTTAATATAATACTTAAATAATTACTCAATTATTATTTGCACACAACTTAATGCTAACAATGTTTATCTTCGATTAATTAATAAATATGTTAGTAGTAATATCATCGTTAAATGACTAAAAACCATTGTCATATCTTAATCATAGCATACGAACTTGGCAAAGTTTGAATTTTCAATTTTAGACGATTATTTAGTGACAATTAAAGTTTATGACATAATAATTGACATGTATGCATGTAATTACATATGAGTGATCTAATTTGCAAGTAAATTTAATTTTGAGATAAATTGAAAAATATAAGAAGTTTTGTTGAGGGAAGACTAATTTGTTTGCTAGCAGTCTATACACGTGATTATTACAAATTTTCCGTGCTAATCTCACGCAGTTTAAACGTATGTGCTAGTGAGAGATCAAAGAGTAAAAATTATGCAGTAGAAATGACAACAGATGAAGGGTGTGTAGATGGATGGCTGGCTGGTAGTTGGGTGAATGGGTGAAGGAGCTTTTTTTTCAGCTGCTAAACAGCTTGCCATGTTTGTCTTCGATTCAGTTTCAAATCGATTATACTAGGCAGGGCCATTGCAAAGATTTTACTAACAAACGCAACTTATTGACGAAATTCTTATACGTTTTCTAACGTACGTAAAAATAAACATATTCACGTATTGTAAGCAATGTTGCGAAAATTGTACATGCGAAGTAAAATGCATTCACATTGCAGAGATCAAATTTAATACAATGTAGAATCTTTTCAGCGTCATAAATATCAATCAAATATGTGGTCTACATTGACAGCTATGTGCAGACATTCACATGTACGTATATTTATAAAGACCATATGCTTACAGTATATCTATCTATATCTATCTAGTTAGATGTAACACAAATTAAAATTGGCTAATTTATAATTGATTTATAGTTATGCTCAAATAAAAGCTGTAAAATTGTATTGCATAACGGATTGATTTTTTTTCTATCGGGAAAATGTTTTAAAATTTAGCTAAAATATTTCTTTATTTAACAAAATGCAATTATAGATCAGCCGAATAATCTTAGCAATGATAAATCTTTGCAATAACGCGTAAAAAGTATGTAATAAATTTTATGCTCTGTTATACGTTTTGTGGAAATAAAAAGCTTAACGTGGAAAGCAGAAATGTTATAATTCTTATAATGCGCTTTAAACATAACGCATAATATCCTTACATACTTACGTATTTCTGCCCTACTAAATCAATACTCAAATAGAGTTAGAAATTTTAAAGAATTTTGAATTTATAGTGATTATAGCATAGACATTCAAATAGCATATATATACATATACAAGATTCAGCATAGCGATTACTAGAGCAGAGAAAATTAAATTCTGTGACTGCATAGAAGATCACTTCTTTAATCTCATTTACAGAACTAATTCAACAAAAGTGTATAAAATTAAAAAGTGTCATTTTCACTTTCAGCAATTATCTAAGCAATAAAATACTTCGGATTATTGCAAAGCATGAAAACAATTCTGAAGAATTGGACTCTGAGATATGAATAAGCAAATCTCGAGAATAAGCTCAATGCACTGAAATGCAACGCATAAAAGTTGACAGCGAATTAAAGCTTTTAAACTAATTTTGAATGACTTATTCACTTAATACTTACGTATTCTTTAATAAACTTTTAATAAAGTAAGTGATTTTGTACGCATTTTCTTGCTCGAAAATGATTGCACCCGCAGAAGTTGATCAAATTGGGAACTGGTTTTCAAAATGATTGATGACTACTTCCATAATGTAAATCTCAGGTATCACTAATTATTTACTGATTAAAATATATTGCTTATTAAAATAAAGCCTTTCTTTTAAAATCTTTCGCTATTTATCATTTTACTATGACTTCAGCTAGCATTATTAAACTTCAAAGTGATAAGCCTGAAACAACATATCCTCAAGTGTGAAACCAAATACAAGTTAAGTTATATTATGAGGTGGATGATTAATATATGTAATACTTGTAAGGAAATTGAAAGTATAGTACGACAATGTATATAATATATAGTATAATATATGTATTAAAATGAATTAGGTGAAATTGTCATTGAAATAATATGATATTTATTTATATAAAATATATAAAGCGAAAAATTGGAACAAAATTGTAAGCTATTAAAAAAAGTTACTGCAAATTGAATAGAATAATATTAAAAACATTTCAATTTACAGTGGCGATGTAAAATTATGAGAATTTTTAGAAAATTATATTTGGTAGAAAGAATATTTTTTATTAAATTAATAACTTATTGCATTCCTTCTGATAGCCAACATTTTATCAGTGAACAGCTATAATTAATGTGATACAAATTAAAACTGACTAACTTATTTATAATTATTAATTTTAAATAAAAGATGTAATATTACATTTTATAACGGATTTCTTTTTCGTATTAAGAAAATGTTTATAAATTTTGCTGAAATGTTTTTTTTAATTAGTTAATTGTCTTCTTCTGTGCTAAGCAAAACGCAATCATAAGTCAACTGAACACTCTTACCAGTGATAAAACTTATCAAAAATGATAATCAAATTCAGTTCTTCACTTTATATTCGTATAATTTATTCAAATATTTGCTAGAGTTAATTTATTTGAATTATTATTCATATTCGTTTCACTATTATTAGCAGCACTTTTATTGTCACTTATTATCTTGATGCCCCCATCATACTATAATTGCAAATTTCAATAAAATATTTTTTGGAATTAAGATTAAACACTTATTTCATATTTTCAAAAACTTAATACCATTTCAAATTTAGAAATTATTTCTCATTTTAAGTTTTTATGCACATAAGTAAATTGATAACTTTCGAATTTCATATTAATTTTTATGTGTATTCAAGTTTGTATTGAGAATGTGAGTAAAAATTGAAGCAAATTATGTGTGTAAAAATTCACCATTACAGAAAGAGTATCACTCATAAATGCTAAATCAAAAAGCAAAGGTCAAATAAATTATGTCCAATTTTACGGAAGAAATTAAATGTCGAATAAAACTCGAGCAGTAAAAAGTAAACGAGGTAGAAGAAAAAGGTCAGGTGAAAGATTACTTTACGAAAAAAAGTGGTCAACATTTTACAAAATACTCTAGCTAAATAATCAGCATTATCTTTGTACTCAAGCTGATTTCGGTAATAATCTTATGGAAATATTTACACAAGAATATGGCTTAAGTTTGATGAATTTAGAAATGAAATAAAATTTAAAGTCACTGTGATCATTTGATCTTAGATATTTAATTGATAACAATGCTGCAAACTGATAATTAATTATCTGTCCAATTTCTCAAATTAACTTTCTTGTCTAACTATTACTGTCTTTGCTATTTAAATTTTTATTTCAGAATTATTTGTGAGATCTAATCGTATTAATTAAATTTCTAAAAGTAAAATAAACTTAAAAGTTTATTTTTTGCTGTAATAAATATTTTCATAACTATTCTTAATCTCATTTCACATATTTCTTGCTCTGTTTTGACATTTATTAAATTAACCTAATTTTCATGCATTACTATTTTCATGCTTTTTTGCTGCACAGCAAGCTTATTACTTTTTATAACTCAACGCTCAAGTTAGACTAATTGCTTTGCAATCAATCAATTAAGAGATAAAGTTCATTTAAATTTCTTACTTTGAAATTAAAAATGCTGTAATTCTATGCGTTACTAATCATATCGCTGTGCTTACAATACTGCAAAAAATTTTCCCCGTCAGAGTTTCCATCCCAAAAGCATACATTAAAAAATTGCGATGCTTAAACAAACAGAAAGTGAATTTCTTGAGTTTGTCTTATTTGAAACGATAAGGTATTTGATATAAAGCACTTCCATCCATTTTATTATCAATAATTTAGACGACAATGTCCAGCTTTGAGATCAAATAATCATTTTTTCTTGAATTTATCATTATCTTTAATCGATTACTTGAATTGCATTTAATAAGTTTATTATTTTAATTCAAAATCTAATATCTAACTTTTATTATATGATCTAATTTAGTTTTTAATTTACATATGTGTAGATTTGAGATATAAATAGTAAGAAAGGTTATTATTTACTGTCATCTCACAAAATTTGCAAAAAATTTAAAAATTAGATCTTTTTTTATTTGAAATAAATCGCAAGTTTGAATCACTATTTAAACATAATAAATAAACTCAATTATCAATCTTAACTATTTAATAAAGAGAGAGCGATTGCAATACTTATCTCTTTTACTATTTTTGTTAAGACTGCACTTATTATTAATTCTTTTAATTAAAAAATACAAATCTGAAATTTAAATTTAGTAACTGAGTTTTGATTTAATAGTATTATTTGGAATACAAAAAGATTATGGAGTTCTTCTTTCCCTTTACAATATATGAATGTTTTCTGTGTAGATCAAGCATTGAGGCTCAGTGATCTGCCGTAAAAATTTCAGAAATGAATAGGTCAACGTAATTAGCGTGAGTAAATCAGAACAAAATTCTACAAAATTGAAACAAACTTTAATATTTATGGCAGTAAAAGTGTTTGTAGTTATCATTATTAATCACACAACAATTGATAATATCACTAGTGTTGATAATAACAACAATAATAGTGATTATTTTTTATAATATATAAGTAAGTAAGAAAATAAGCTTTTATTAGGTCAAAAAATGTAGTATGAAGAATAATTGATAACGATTACTACTATAGTGGTGGGTTAAGACAGAAATTTTGTCTTTCTAAGCACTTTATAAGATCTGAAGTGGGAATGTTCAACTGATATGGTTATTATCACTTTATCATTCGATGATAATTGTTCATTACAGCAGCAACACATTTGGTATTTTTTCATCCTTTGGACACCATCTCAATTTTTTATTTTTTATTTGATTTTAAAGGCATTTTTTGCAATTTAGTTTGTAATCACAGCTTTTGTTTGGAGTATTAAAGTTTATCAGTTGTTAATTGCTGATTGAATGTGATTCGATCATTAAAACTATGTCAGTAATCAGTATGAAATTTGTCCAAACTCTATTCGTTATAGTGCAATTTGGTTTTGCTGAAATTATTTTATTCATTAAAACATCTTAAGTTTTTGAAGCTAAATTCTTAAATATTTGCCTTTAACTTTTCTCGAAATATGAATTTTTGAAAATAAGTAATATTTTTGCAGTTTTTTCACAAAAATTTCTAACGTTTTTGAAATTTTTGTAAAATAATTAAGATTATTGCGTGTATGCTTTTAGAAATTATACTTATTATTAATGGATGAAATCACAAAGACTTGCACAGATTTCGATACAGTTATTACTAAAAGAACGGTGATGGAATTGAGTTCAAATGATTACAAAAGTGATAAGGAAAGTATTATCTGCACTAGTACCATCAGTAATACTGATAATTCTTCTCTTACTAGTACTTTCAATTCTTTATCATTACTGAATTCCTCAAATTATTTTATTCACGATAAATTACGTGAAAATACGCAATCACCAAGTCTCGATAATAATAATCACTCTTATTTACCATCACTTATTATGGCTACACCGCATATTGAACCCTTTGATATTTCTTCACAACACACAGTTCAGGAATTGGATGAAAAACGTGAAAATGAAAAAGTTTACGAATATTTGCTTCGACTCACGGAAGTGAGAAAGTAATTTCTTATCTTTCTGTCTTCTGCTATGAGTAATAACACTGGTACAAGCACCAAAAAAACAATAATAACAATAACAATAATAATAATAATAATAATAATAATAATAA